AGTTTAAAATAATACTTGCAATAGAGACAAGTTGCCTCTCTAGACTATGCTCTGACCTCGTCAGTGGGCTTTCATTGGATATTCTCAGTGTTCACCTGAACATTTAATATTTAGTTTCTACTCTAAATTCTTTAAACGTCAAATCTGCTGGCCCTAGCAAGCTGTCTGCAAATGAACACTGCAACTAAGAAAACATTACCTCAAAAAAACTTGGAAGTATAATTCAACTCAAGCTCTAAGAGCTAACAGTCAAACTAAGATGCACTTACACTGCTGCCATGACTATCTGCCTATTCTCTTGCATCAAGTTGAGCTATCACAATTAATATTTATTTTCTGTCAGTACACACTTAATTTACGGGACATTTTGACAAGGATTTCCTTGCAAGAGTTCAAGCAGTTTCTTCCATCTCAACTTGCCTTCTCTTATCTCCTATCACTTTTCCATCTAAATTACAGCACTGAAACCAAATTTGGTGCTTGGGTAAACAACTGGTTAAAACTTGTTTCCAATGAACTGGCTTCTCCTAATCTGCCATTTCCCTGTAGCATTCTGCATGTGACTGTAGTAACAACTGTGTAAGCACAACAGAGAAAGGGGAAAGGGCAGAGGTACTGGAATTATTTTGACAGAGCTGTCAACTGCCTATTAAACACCTGTGTAATTTCATGCCCGCATGTGTCCTGTCCTTGGGGTCCTTCAGGAATGGACTGCTCCAGTGTCAATCCCCCATGGAATCACAAGTCCTGCCAGCAAACCTGCTCCAACATGGGCTCCTCTCTTCATAGGGCCACAGGTCCTGCTAGGAGCTTGCTACAGTGCAGGCTTCCCATAGGGTCAACAGCCTCCTTCGGGCAACCACCTGCTCCTGTGTGAGGTCCTCCATGGGCTGTAGGTGGATATCTGCTCCACCATTAACCTCCATGGGCTGCAATGGGACAGGCTACTTCAACCTGGTCTTCACCATGGGCTGCAGGGGAACCTCTGCTCTGGCTCCTGGGGCACCTCCTCCCCTTCCTTCTTCAATGACCTTGGTGTCTGCAGAGTCACTGCTCTCCATATTCTCTCTCCTCTCTCCTGGCTGCTGTTGCACAACAGTTTCCCCCCACCCCTTTCTTAAATAAGTTCTCACGTGGGCACTACCACCATCGCTGATGGGCTTGGCCTTGGCCAACAGCAGGTCTGTCTTGTAGCCGACTGGCACTGACTCGATCAGACATGGGGAAAGCTTCTAGCAGCTTCTCACAGAAGCCTTCCCTGTAGCCCCCTCTCCTCCCGCTACCAAAATCTTGCCATGCAAGCCAAATACAGTCTGTATTCACAATGCTCTCTCAGAAAACAGGCCTATATATTAAGACACAAAAGTAAAAACGATGATCAGCTCTGCTATGTTAACCCACTCTACAAGGTGACTCTGTACTTACAAGCCACATCTTTCTAGAAGTGCTAGGATTGCAACTCTTAAAAAGTTGTCTCTTCCAAAGGCAGTCTTTATAAAAGATGACACAGGAAGCAGATATGTTCCTATCTGAATGCAAGTCTTGTAGGTCACCTCTCTCTTGCAAATGGAGAAAGGGAAATGCCAATAGTATGAAAGTGAGAGGACACAGAGCCAAGAAGATAAAGTGAAATACTTGTGTAAAATACTGAGTAAATCTATATTAAAGATCAAGTGCTTAACATATCAATCTGACAGCTTTTTTTGGAAAACCTGTTGCTGTAGGACTAAGTCAGGAACTTCATCAGTGCTTGATCACCTCCGAACTCCATGAGAAGCATGACTTGCTTTTGCTGGACAACTATACAAACTTTACATCACTGAACAAGTAAGAAGTAGTGAAGATATCTGTGACTCAAAGCCAACATCAAAGAAGTCTCCAGCTTCAAACACCATCTTAGTATTTCCCTATCCATATTAAAGGCATATCATTTCCTGTAGCTAAAAGCTAGTGAATCTATAATCTAGTCTCTGTCAACTACTTCTCTTATACTTCCCTATTCCCCTTCAAGAGTATTAACATAAAGGTTAGGAGTGCAATGATATTTATTTCAAATACAGCTTTACGTTTTAACAATGCATATTAGGACCAAAAGCATTTTTTGCTCAGCTTACACTCCAATTCTACAATACATTTCAACTGAATAGTTATTTTTTTTGGTAGCAGTTAAAAAGCTTTACAACTACCAACACCATGACTCTTCAGCAACACTGGTGTCATAAGTCTTCTTTGACAGCTTCATAAATCTGAAAAACTTGAAAAATAGCAGCTTTGTCTGCTATCTTCGAAGTTTCTCTATGTTTTTGCCAAGTTTTATACAGTGGAAAGCAGTTAAGGTAGAAAAATAAAAATTAAATGATTGCTCTACCACAGTACAGTAGTGCCATGTTCACCATTACTAGATAATATCTGTTCAGTTAAGTCTAGTATTAAGTCAAACTGCTTACCACCTTAAAGTTTACTGCTCCAGTCTTATTTTCTGTACTCCTGACATCAGTCTCTATGTTCCCTTTATAGAGTAACTTGAATGATTATTAAGACAGACATTTTTGGTAATTCATAGTCACTCATCCTGCCTCATTTTAAGGGCATTTCTTTTATTTAGAGCTAGTCACACTGACATGTTGTTTAGGAGTTACAAAAAACCAGGCTTAATATTAATTTCTGAAAATAATACAGGTACTATACTTTATGATTGCGTCACCTCTCATTTTAATTAAGTCTCCTATATACTAGAAGTTAATATGCAGTGTTTTTAATCAGTTTGGTTATAATGCTCTTTAAGGTACCTAAAGCAGAGTGATGGATGCTTGTCTCAGCATTAAAATGATGAGTACAACTTGCCTGAGCATTAGCTGTAGCAACACAGCACTAGTTTTATTCTAAGTTGCCTAGAAATCACCTGTATTTTCTTAGATTTTGGTCATGCTATGTGCTTCAAGATTAACATGAAGTTTTTAAAAGCTGTAATTAATGTCAACTAAAGTATTTGGTTTTGTACATAACTTGTAGAACCATGACCCTGTATGATCTCTAGGTAGCTGAGGTTCATTTTTGGCACTCCCTAAAACCGCCTAAATTTTGCTATTTGCAACAAAATTACTCCAGCAAAATACAGTAGCTGAACAAAGCTGAAGAGCAGCACACATGTAAGCAGTATCCATTGGTCCAGACCAGACACCAACTACTGCAGCTTCACTAGCTCTGCTGTAAGTTAAAGTTATGTTCTAGCCTGTTGTAAACGCAACGTAAGCTCTCATCACAGCTCAACTAGTATGTATTTCTATTCTGCTTTTTCAAAAACTTGATTCATTTTGGAAAACATATGAGAATTTATAGTTAGCCCATTTTAGTCTGTTAGCCACTAAGATAATTTGAATGATAGCCTTATACTTTCATGCATGACAGCCATGAATTCTCTTACAGCAAATCCTAGTCATAGAATTGACAACTGGACTTAAAAAAAACCTCCCCCGCTTCTTACAGTTAGAATAGGGCTCACAACAGAGCTATACTCAGAAAATATCAATACAACTAAAAGTATAGTTGAAAGTTACATTCCAGGAGAATATTTCATGCTATGTAATGACGCTATTCTAATTTTTTACGACTTGATACTCCTTAAAATGTGATTCTTCATAACTGTTTTGAGACTGTTACAGAGCCATGAGTTCTCCATAAAGGAAACATGAGAACCAAGTATTCAAAATTAACTTCTCACAAAAGTAACTTTTGTAATAATTTATAGTGCTTAAGTCTTTTAATAACTATGATTTTATATAATTTTTAAGTTCTGTTTACAAATAATTCCACTGTCTCAGAGTATTTAGAGGTTTCTAATTAACTAGCTTATTAACTAGTCAGTTAATTAGAACTTACTGGTTTTCCCACAATGGCCTGCAGATAATTTATGTCTGACTGAAACACCATCCCTTTTTCTAAAGATTCAGGTTAGCTACCAAATACAAATTGTGCAAGATATGGCTTCAAGTAGCACGTTCTGTACCTTCAGTTTCAATCTTAATTTTTGTCATCTCAACCCTTAAGTATTCATATTTAGTTTTAAATTATTACATGGAATGAAACATGACTTCTTTGTAACTGGCCAACACGCCCTATGATGCTCATTTTATATTGTGGAATAACTGATGTCAAGAACTTAAAGAATCACAATACCATACAACAGAATGAAGTTTTAAGTTTCTGGCCTTATTATTTTCCTTAAAAAATTATAATATATGACCACTTATTGATCAAGATAGGATTAGCTAATTTAGCTAATCCATTATGGAAATTTGGAGAGTTTTTCCACACTTGTACATCACTATTCACATATACCCTAAGTCATGCTGTTCTTTCACAAAGGAAGTGTCATAGTGAAACATTGATCACACTGTGTTAATAGATACAAGAATGTTTTCCAACAGCAGAGGTGCTAAAACAGACACAAATTTACCACATTACACTAAGGAGATCAGCAAGCGTTCTGCATGAGATGCTTTATGATTACTGGATATCTGCATCCCAAGAAAAGGAGACCACTAACTGGAGAACAATGCACACATTCAGCACAAAACTCTAACTTCCTTAAAGCAAAGCATCTTTGACTTCCCTAAACACAGTTGCTCTGCTCCCACTAGCATCTGTTTTTTCAATTGATTACAGACAAGGTACTGTTTATTGCAGTCAACATGTCTTGCCAAAACATAGGTTAACACTGGAAAAACAAAGTTCACCTAACCAAGAGAAAGTATTAATCTCAGAAACACTAGGTAAACTACCTCAACCTTAAGAATTTCCACTGTGTGTTATTGTTATTGAATAATCAGTTTAATCCCAAGTCATACTGTAGATCTTAACTCCTTACTTTCAATTGTTTTTCATACAATTAAAAGGCTGAAGTACTTTATGCACAAAAGGGCTCTAAAGTTTGCTATTTCAACTACTGACCAAATAAATTCTGAGGTAACATACTGTCTTTGATGAGAAGTAAGACTTACCTAATATGTAGATAGTCTTCTGATCACTTCTCTGACCAAGGGAATTAGTCACCTTACAGATATAAGTCCCAGTGTAGTTGTAAGTCAATGGGCTGCTGAACTGCAGAGTATTGTTGACAGGTAGCAATCCTTCAGGCCATTGTCCGTCCAATCTAAAACAAAAATTTTAGTTATATTTTTAACTGCAAAACTTTACAACTAAAGTCTGAATAAAACTAGTTTAAAATAATACTTGCAATAGAGACAAGTTGCCTCTCTAGACTATGCTCTGACCTCGTCAGTGGGCTTTCATTGGATATTCTCAGTGTTCACCTGAACATTTAATATTTAGTTTCTACTCTAAATTCTTTAAACGTCAAATCTGCTGGCCCTAGCAAGCTGTCTGCAAATGAACACTGCAACTAAGAAAACATTATCTCAAAAAAACTTGGAAGTATAATTCAACTCAAGCTCTAAGAGCTAACAGTCAAACTAAGATGCACTTACACTGCTGCCATGACTATCTGCCTATTCTCTTGCATCAAGTTGAGCTATCACAATTAATATTTATTTTCTGTCAGTACACACTTAATTTACGGGACATTTTGACAAGGATTTCCTTGCAAGAGTTCAAGCAGTTTCTTCCATCTCAACTTGCCTTCTCTTATCTCCTATCACTTTTCCATCTAAATTACAGCACTGAAACCAAATTTGGTGCTTGGGTAAACAACTGGTTAAAACTTGTTTCCAATGAACTGGCTTCTCCTAATCTGCCATTTCCCTGTAGCATTCTGCATGTGACTGTAGTAACAACTGTGTAAGCACAACAGAGAAAGGGGAAAGGGCAGAGGTACTGGAATTATTTTGACAGAGCTGTCAACTGCCTATTAAACACCTGTGTAATTTCATGCCCTTGCATCCCATTTTGTTTTTATCTAAATATCTATTAACAGCTAATAAGGACTAAGACATGCAACATTTTAAATGTTATTTACCATGAAAATATTACTATCCTAGGAAATACAATGCCACCTCTGCTTCCAAGGGATGAAGATTTTTTTTTTAGTGTGGTAGTTCTAGAAGCTATTATAATTCAAAACCAGTAATATAGCACACAATTTCACTACAGTTATTTTCCATTTCCTTAACCACTCAAGCTATTCTTATTTTGCATGGGATTTTCTTTCCCCCACTTGAAGTTCATCGTTCACCACCAGTACAGCTTCTTGGATGGGTTTTGCTGTTGCTCATACAAAAAGTTACCCTAGTTTTTTTCCAGAAAATTAATGTTTTCTTGTAAAAGTTGGTTCAGTTTTAGCCTTAGGAAGTTTAAGAGTAACCTCTGAAGCCTGAAGTGGCTTAATTATATTTAAATACATATATTTCTTCTGGAACTGGAAATAGAGGTTACATCGATTAGTTTTTTACAGACAACTCAAATTCAAATCAGAGAACTAAGAACCCAGTTTATATCAAGAAATAAGCAGTACTGCAGTTGAGAGCATGGCATGCTTTTTTAAATACAGGAATTTGCACGTATTGAAATCTCATCACGCTGAATTTGAGCTAAGCATGGGATTGGGACAGCAACCTATTGTAGCACATAGATAAAGCATACTTTTACTAAACCTACTTTAGAGTGGCCATGCCATTCTGACTAGTTAGTTATGATACTGACTTAAGATTTCAATGGCTGCTTTTAGGATTTTGTCAGCTATAGCAGTGTTTTGTTTCCCTGTGAAACTGCCATCAAGCAATTCCAAACCTATCAATACAGCATTTTCAAACCACATTATGACTACTGTTCCCATATGCTAAAATATATCTACCATTGAGAAAGTAGGGAAACAGACTCCAGTTTCACATCAGTAAATATTCCTGTGATTTTACCAACAGAAGCACTGTAACAAATACCTATAAATTTACACCGTCATCAGGAAGGTTGTTTCTACAGGCAACAAATAAATTTAAAATAACTGGGTTTATTTAATTTCTTTTTTCTTCACAGGACAGATTCTGATCCACACTTTCTTTATTGTCTGCTTCTTGACCAAAGTATACCCTTGGCTGCAAAAGCAAACCTATAAATTTGAGTAGGGCCCACCCAATCCAAATATTCATTAAATGCAGCTGTTACGCAAGAAATTATTGTAGATTTTTTTTCTAGAGACATATGTTCGTAGACCTAGTTTCTATCACCACGTTTATCTGTCTTGGCAACTACTTGAGCCCTTCTGAAAAACATGACAAATTCTATAATTCAGTACACAGTATTTGCCCTCTCAATTGTAATTTCCAGATTTTAAAGAGGCAGACAGAGAAAAGTCTGTTCAAGTGTTTACAATCTACTTTAAATAATAATAGAACTAATGAAATAGTAGTTGGATCTCTACTACATTTATTAGGCTTTGCTCTCTATACTGCAACATATGCAGTTTAGTCTACTTTATTAAGTAACTACAAAAGATTTTATCCTGAGAGTAATGACAAACTGTTCAGGCTTTTAAATTTACAAGATATCCACCCACCCATATTCACACATATACATACTGAGTATCCTCTCCTTTTAGAAGGCTGGATTATACCATTACAACCCAATAGAAATTATATACTCCTTGTTTTCAAAACAGGTGTTTACTGCAAGAGATTATACCACTTTAATCACGTGGCAAGCCCCTTTTTAGAAGTATTTACCTGGCCCATGTAAATTCCATAGGCAATGGATTTGCATCAGCATTACATCTGAGCTGAACGTTCTCTCTTCCAATGAACCAGTTTCCATCATAGCCAGTTACTGAAACTTCTGGAGCATCTAACAAACAAACAAACAAAAGATTTAACCTAGCAACAATGACAATACTTCCCTTGAACATGAGCTGTGTACAATGATCAGCTCAGTGGAACAGAAGTTTTGGTTTATTGGAGTTTTTATGTTCTAATTTAAAAAACAACAAAAAAACCCCACAGAGAACACCAATACAGTTCCAAGCTATAGCATGATATGCAGCAGACGATTAGATGAGGAAAAGTAAGTTGATTTAGTTGGTGCAACTGTCCCTCTGTGTGCTTTCAGCAAACATGGAGTGCTTTAGGGAAATGAAACAACTTCACAAGAAAAGGATCAGTTTGGTATTTTGGAAGTGAGGAAGGATAACTTAGAGATACTTCTCACTAACAAGATACAGTAAAGGATCAGAAACAGTGTTTTTAGAAGGCAGGTAATTAGGAAGTCATCAAAATGTTCACAGATGCCAGTTAAAAATGTTAATTATCCACTGGCATCATAATATACAATTACCTTCTTACGCCTCTAAAAAGCAAAGAGGCCACTTCAGATAATCCAGAGAGACCTAGCTGAAATATTCAGAACCCACAGAACCACCAGTATGACTTGGTATAACCTCCCACACAGCAGAGATGGAGCAGTTGCAGAAGCTGTATGTGTAAGAGGAGACTGAAGGAAGACTAGGGAAGAGACACAGAACCTCTGCTTCTCACTTGCTGCTGTGTTGCTTACTATACAATTTTGTTAGAAGTTCTGAAACATATCTTAGCATTATTTTCAGGTTAAAAAAAATAATTTAAGACCAACTTTCCCTCTCCTTTCACTTTAAATATGGAACTTCCTTCTCTTATTCACTGTTTGAGACAATAATGGAAACAAATAATCTTTACTTCTATTTTTTATCAATGTCATCTGGATCTAGAACTACATTTCAACATACACAAAATAAATCAGTACTAATCACTACTTTATGCCAAAATAAGTGATTCTTTATTAAACAGAACAAAAGTAAACCCATGAGACATTCTAGTCAAATGAAAATAGCAAAGTTTATTTTTTCCAGTCACTATATTTCTTCTCCTTGCATTAACAGACTTTTATGATTTAGGAACTTTAAAGCAGCACACTGCTGAGACAGAATACTAAAGGAAGAACAGAAAAACACCCTAGTTTGGTCACGTATGCAATGTCTAACAAGAAACTGATCACATTTTTGTCTTAACTGGTTTTCATCTTTCTGTTTTATCGATCTTAACTGGTTTTAGCTAAGCAGCATTGTAAGCCATCTCACTTCATGCGTTTTAAAGCCACAAATTGTTAAACAAGCCTGGTACACATTTGAATTACATAAGCAATCTGAAGCTGAATAATAAATGTTAGGAATGTATATATTATATTCTTGTTTCCTCATGCAAATTAGTGGAAAAAGCTTAGCAAGTAACTTGAAAATAACTTACTGACCCCTGTAAGTCCTACTTTCAACTTGTCAACTCAAAACATAAACCTTCAATTAGAATTCTTTTTTAATAGTGCTGAAATTGTAAGACACTGTAAACAGTTTAGGAATCAACTAAGTTTGTTATTTTGTCTGTAATCTTTTTGAAGTCAAATATAAAAGTGAAGAATGCTTACATATGAGCCAATACCCAAAACAAATGGCAGAAACGTAACAGTATTCTAGCTTTGTGTCTAGACGTCACCAAACTGTGTGGTGCAATCAACATGCTGGAGGAAAGGCATGCCATCCAGAGAGTCCTGCACAGGCTTGAGAGCATGACCCATGTAAGCCTCATGAAACTCAACCAGGCCAAGTGCAAGGTCCTGCATCTGGTTCAGGGCAATCCCCAAGCACTAATACAGGCTGGGCAGAGCATGGATTGAGGGCAGTCCTCAGGAGTGGGACTCGTGGGCGTTGGTTGATGAGAAGCTCAACATGAGCCAGCAATGTGTGCTCGCAGCCCAGAAAGCATCATCCCAGGCTGCATCAAAAGAAGCATGGCCAGCAGGTCAAGGTAGGTGATGCTACCTCTGTTCTCTGCTCCCATAAGACCCCACCAGAGCACATAGGTCTAGGATGCCAAACAGGAGGACGACACAGGGCTGTTGGATCAAGTCCAGAGGAGGCCCACAAAGATTATCAGAGGAGTGAAGCTCCTCTCCTATGAAGACAGACTGAGATAGTTGGGGTTGTTCAGTCTGGAGAAGAGAACTCTCTCAGGAGAACCTGTAGCAGCCTTCCAATACCTAAAGGGGGGCTACAGGAGAGATGGGGAGGGACTCTTATCAGGGAGTGGAGTGATACAGCGAAGGGTAATGTTTTTAAACTCCAAGAAGGTAGATTTAGATTAGATATTAGGAAGACATTCTTTACTCAGAGTGGTGAGGCACTGGAACAGGTTGCCCAGATAAGTTGTGGATGTCCCATCCCTGGGACATCAATGCCAGGCTGTATGGGGCTTTGAGGAACTCAGTCTAGAAGAAGTTGCCTCTGCCCATGGCAGGGGTGTTGGAACTAAAGGATCTTTAGAGGTCCCTGCAAACCTTAACCATTCTACATGTTTTGGGGTTTTTTGGGTTTAGTTGTTCTGGGTTTTTTTGTTTGTTTTTTAAATACAGGTACCCTAGGTTTCTACTCCTGCCTGGCCTACCTCTTACCACGTATTTTTCTATACAGTTTTAATTTCACTTTTTCTCCTGAAGGACTAAGTGCTCATCTCCTTCCTGGGGAAGATAATTACTCTATCAGTGTATATTAGATATATACCAAGTTAGTATTACCTTATGCAATACTTACACTGTATGTCCAGCACATGAGGGTATCTTATCTCCTTTTCCAAAGCAGGGTGCCTCACAATACAAGTTATACGTCTTCCTCTTGCAAATCGTGTAGGGACAATCATATACTGACTTACAACTGTCACTGTTTCATTTGGAAACGAAATAGAGTTTGGTATCATTTCACCAAGGCCTCCTTCCCAGTCAATCTCTGCAGCAGGTTTTCCAGTGGCTGCTGTACAAGTGGCTGCTATTGTCTTATTTGCTCCATCTATTAGAGGGTTTGGTCCTTTTGTTAAGCTCACAACAGGTTCAACTAGGGAAGAATAAAAAAAAAAGTAAATTTAAACAAGAAAGACTCCACATCTTTGAAACTGTTGCCATGTAAAAGAGTTAGACAAGATCTAATCCATCTGCAAAAGCTAATCTGCTAATCAGATAACCTAAAAATAAGATCATGTCATATCAGAGATGTTAGCTCTGCAAAGCTTTGGCCTGCTGATACTGTTTACCTTTGTCCACTCATTAAAGTTTAATGTTTCTCATTCATTCATTAATGCGTTGACAGGGAATTCCAACATGGTTAGGTTCAAAACCCCAACTACAGTGCTCCAGTTGCAGTCAGACAGTTTAACATATTAGGTTGAAACTATACTTTGATTTTTTTAAAAAAGCCTCGATTCTGCTGCTCTTTAATCTATACTGTCAGTTTATGTCATTTCAAAGCTACTTAATTCAGTGTTTTAAGACCCAACATTAAGAGTTTAAACTTATGTTCATGAGTACAATACAAATTGATTCCATGCTGAAAAGAGCAGTTAACTTCTAAATAAAGTATTTATTATATATACACATACGTTATATACAAAAATCTAATATGTACACACATATATAATATACATAATTTTATATAAAATTTGTGTATGTTTTTGATATAAAAATAAATCATTTCTATATACAAATAAAATTCTGTCTATATGTATTCTTGTGAACAAATCCCTACAGAATTAAATCAACTGAACTAAGTACTATGTCCAAGACTCAAGAAATCTGCAAGTGGAAGGATCTGACCTCCTTGTGAACCCGTTGTTCACCTCAAAATGTTAGCAGCTTAGAGAACACACTGTCTTCTAAACGAAATTTGAGTTCTTGATGTACAAGTCTACTGTTGAGGGCTGCAGACCGAAAAGCTTTTAAAAAAATTCCTCCTCCTTTAAGAAATCTGTTTCAACCCTGTACAAGCCATCCACCAGTTGCAGCCTAAGTCAAAAATACCATCTGGTGCTTCAGATGCAAACCAAGGTTTTGCTTTCTAGGATGGTTTGTTTCTGTCATCAGTACTAGAAAAAACACGTTTCCCAGTAGCGTACTAACCTATTCCATAATCCTTATCTTTTGATCTAATAATGCTACCAGTCTCTTCTGTAGTGGAGTCATCAGTACACACCATAATGCTTCAGAACTCATCTCAGTGGACCAGCCCTCACCAGTCACAAAGCATAAAAGTCTTCAACTTCTTTCAGTATCTATAAGGAAAAGTTTAGTTCACAAAATTTCTTTCTACAAGTTGAAGCTGACCCACATATCTTGAAATGGAGCAGAGTTCACAACACCTGGAAAGATACTTCTCCAGCTACCTATTCATTCAAGACATAACTGGATAACTAGTATTTTCAGCTTGAACGAATTCAGGCCAGAATCAGTTTTTGATTACTTTCTGCTCAGTCTAACACTGCTTATGTCTGAAGAAGGCAGTTTATTATTTGCGTCATTACACTAAAAAGAAAGGTAACTACTAAATGGATAACTTTATAAAAATGTGGGTTTTGGGCAGATACTGAGAGTGGATTATTTTCTGCAATAAACTTGGATATTTAAACTAATGTACCTACGAAGTATTCTATCATTTGAAAAAAAGCCTTTAAAACCTAGCATGAAGAACTTGACATTATCTAGCTTTGTTATTTGCCCCACAATTTAGTTTCCCCAATTTAACATAAACATTACTGCGTTGTTCCCCCCAGATCACTAGCAGTAACCTTTTCAATAGCTCATGTAGTATTTCTGAAATGCAGAAGTAAACACCCAAATTTACATTTAATGTCTTACAAGTATGAAGATAGTAATTTTTGCTGTATCTCCCCTCAATCTCCATCAGAGTGAAATCCATTAAGTTAGCAGCTATCATTGGCTTTTCTTGACAATCTTACAGACCCAAAACATTTCAGCTGGAAATAGTTTTCTATTCTATTCCTTTGAGTTTTCCTCAAAAAAAAAACAAAGAAAAAAGTATACAGTTCCAGATTTTTTTTCCTCTACCCCTTTGTGAAGGGATACAAAAGCCAACAAGAGGTCTAAACTAAGGGCAGCAGAGATCTCCAGACCCAAAGCAGACTACTCAGTACACTACTTCACTTACAGTGCATTCAAAAAAAAAATATGTCTTCAAGTATTAAGTGTCAGTAACCAGAGAACAGGATATAGACTCATTTTAAAAGTCTAGTTTCTCCAAAGATTATCATTATTAGGAAAGAAGTATACTTAGCTTTCTCCAGTAGTATCTGAAATTTCTGAGATTGGCCAGTTTCAGCTCACTGTGTAATTCTTAGTTTTATACTTGTCAGAAAGACAAAGCTGAACTATTCCAAAGTACTCAACTTCATGAAATATAGTTATTACCATTCTAATGTATTTTGGTGCTTTAGGTGATTTTTTTTATTTGTTTGGGGTTGGGTTTTTTTGTGTTTTGCTTTTGTTTGCCTTTTTACACTTCACAAATGGTTAGGCTTTTACTGTCACTTCTCATAAGATTCTTGGACTACACACCAACTACAACCAAATAGCTACATACTAAAAAGTGGAAAGCTGCTGCTGTTATGATATTCATTTCTTTAGTCTAGCCTACAGGACTACTTTGTCCAAGCAACTGAAGCAAAACCTGCAGAAACCCATCTACTTGTGCTACAGCCTTTCTAGCTGTTTCACTCACGGATAAGATAAAGCTTTCTTGTGAGTGAAACCCTAATTATAAGGGGCCATTGGCATCTGGCCTTTCGTATTGGGAAACAGTTTTACTGTTTTCAACTTGGGAAAAAGAGATTACCCGAAGTATGGGGTTTGGAGGGTTTTCAGCTGGCATATTTTGGGGGTTTTTTGTTTTGTTTTGTTTTTTGTTTTTTGGGGTTTTTTTGAAGTTTAACGTATATATACAGAGACTCTTGTAACTGTCCTCTTCATATCCCACACCTTCAGTGTGCCATGTGAATCATACTGAAGCGTGTCTTTTCGTTCTTCACAGTGGTGATAGCGAGACACATTAAGGGCACTCAAAAGGGGTTGGGAAAGCATTAGAGAAGCTGCTTCACCCGTTCCATAGAAACATTATGCTCTACTCAGGTCAAATGAAAAAGACAGCAAGGACAATGCTTAGTTTGGGAAAGGAAGCCACCAATCTCACAAAAATCCAAAAGCAGAAGAGACCTGCTTCCACAATATAAGAGTTCAAGGGCATTGGTGGTTTCCACCACCCCCTTTAAATTATTCATAGTCGATAACCTCTGTCCATCCAGTCAATGTATCAAAAGGTCAGCACGCATGGATCATCTCATTCCTGTATCTTAAGAGAAGAATAGTCACACAAATCCAAAGCATTATTACAGCATTAATTATATTGGAGCTATAGGAAATGGTGGCTGAAGTTGCATGCTAGATGTGCAGCTGTTCAGGAATTCTCAAATTTGCATATCTGTGCTAGCCCTTTCAATGATTCATAATCACTATTTAATTTAAACATAATTACCCTAGGCTTCACCTAACCTGAATGTAAATTCACAAGGAGTAACAAAAGATCTCCGATTGTCACGTCCTTACACTTTTTATAGAAAAACAACATAACAAAGCATCCAGAAAAAAAAAGAGCCTGAAAGTTTCCAGGGCTCAAAGTTTCTTCTCGATTTTAAGTACTTTATAAGTCTTTTTTAACTGCTTCTGCTAGTTTTAAAACTGATTTTCTTCTGCCACTGTGCACACAGGAGGTCTGGACAAAATTGGCATGATTATAACACAAACAGTATTATTTCCACTTACCATTAAATCACTAATTCCTTTGGCAACAGCACAACACTGGCAATTGTCAGCCCCTTCTTCATCACAACTGACATTTGCTTGAATAACTTCTTTCCAAAACAGTATTTCTACTTTATTCTCCCTCCCCTCAAAACCAGCAGCCTTATACTTCTTTGTAGCTTATCCTGCCCACTAACTAATCCTTTATTACTGACTTTGGGGGTTTTTGTTTTGTTATTGGGTTTTAAGACCTGTCAGTTTATTAATTTGTTTGATATTTTTTCTTGGCCCAGAGGAGAACAGGTACATCTCATCAACTAGCACTTTTCAAAAACCGCTACTTTATTAGAATTCTGAGAGGATCCGTTTTCCACACTGTCCGACATGCATCTTTCTTGAATTCCCTATTGTTAGGAATTATTGTAAAATATTATTACTAGATTAGTGTGTCTGGAATCTCTTCATGGTGACAGACCTACATCTAACCTTTGCCGTTCTCATCTGTGCAGCTCTTTCTTCACTTACAGCATTGGTAAGAGCTAGCCTGCAGAAGAACAAGATCTACTTTATCAATAGCTATGCTGAGCAATCTAGCTCAGCAAGACAGGAGAGGAGTCGTCAAATTGAACCAAGTACTTCTAGTCACATACAGTATTCAAGCTAGTAACATAAAATGGTTAGCTCTGCAAGCTACCCTGTCACACACCATCTCTTCTGCCTTCAAATACCATTTTGGACAGTTTAGTCAGCATCTTGAGAAAAAAACCCCAGCTTGACATACAATTATTTCCATTTTTTTTAACCTGTTTAAACAAAGTAAGTGTGAAGAACCAAAGATTTAGACAAGACACCTGTTTGACCCCAAAAGCATTTTCCTATTTTCACTATCTTGACCCTATAGTGCATTTTCTGAAGAATGAAGCACTTTTCTTAACACCAAGCACTAAGCAAAGCAAACTGGGAGTGAGCAAAGTCACCAAACATGGTAAGGCTGTTAAGCTTAAGTAGCATAAGATAGAGGCTCTAAATATGGTCTAAGTGATCAGTGTGCTGCGGCAAAATAGAGGACATTTTATCCTGTAGCTTTTTCTTCCTCCCTTTGTCTTCAATGTCTGTGCCTTACAATGTACAAGCATCTGCTACATGATTAAGTATGTCCACTACACATAGGAAGGAAACTAATTCTTTGCTAAATAGAAACATACTAGGAAAAAGGGCAGTGCTTGTTTGGACTGGGAACAGTTTCAGCCCCAGGACATGAACTTCTCTCCTCACTTAAGGGTGAGTTTGTTAGAACAGCAGCAAAGTGCAGTCAGAATAAAGCTGAGTTTAAGTTACATCAGGTTAAAATTTTGATCAGAGCTAGTCAATGCCCAAAGACTCTGCTGAGCTTGGAACAGCTGAACTCAAAAGTTCTTCAGTTACATGCATATTCTAAAAATCATTACTTCCCCAGTACTTTTACCATCTAAGTCTAGATATCAGTGTAGCAAGAAGTTTTTAGAAAGACAGAAAATGCTCTGCTGAGGCCACAGGACATAGGTAAGTCTGACAAAGGTTTGACTACCTAGCTCTACATGCAAGTAGCTGCTAACTAGGACAGAAAAGAATCTTTGCCAGTAGTAGTTGGGTTTTTACAATTGAGAGGTGGATACCAAGTTGCTGATAGGCTTACAACTATCAGCAACCATCTACATAATCAACTATGAAAAGAACTATGATCAGGACTAACGTATGCCTGACAAATACTTCTTTACGCATTCCAACTGCAATTTTTGATAATAAATGTATGTCATCAGGCAGGTTGTGGCCCTTCTACATTTTCAGATGTAGAATAATAAACACATAGCCATGTATTTGCTCTCTGAACTCCCTCTCATGTTCTCCATAAACTTAAAATTTGAGGGGGAAAATGGATCCAACTACCAGCACAATCTGAAAAAATACATCTTAAAAATAGGGACTGACTAGAAGAGATGAGGGAAAGCAATAAGAACCTCTCGCTATATGTTGATGAAGCACAACAGCTGAAACCTGAAGTAAAAAGACTACTACAATAGCCACTTGTAGTACTGACATAAGACTGGTTGAAGAGAGCCATAAGGTCACATGCTTTGTATATCACACTGAACTTACTTGGTCAAGTTACTTGTTTCAAATTGGATTAAGCCACTTATTTTGATGCGTTTATTTTGCCCCACCTTGTGGGGCTACTGTACTAAAGCCATCTGATTAATCTCATATAGTATTCTGCTACTGTGGAAAGCAGAGATCAGAGACCAAGAATATCCTAAAAAGCACATTTGTTTACAAGAAGAGTCATCAAGAAGCAACTCATCTGTAAAAAATACCACTTGACTACTTGCAGTGGATACAGAAGTAATTTACTCTATTATAAGAAGGTGTAATATTCTAAGGAGAGGGCAAGTCAATGGGGCTTCAACTTTCAGGATAGAGTAATCATTTTATCTCATACTGCACTACCACCAAAGTCTACCTGTGCCTTCAGTACTAGCCCTTTACGACAGCAACACCTAACCCCCAACAAGATAGACACAATCAGTTTGTGAGAAACCTGAGTTTATATAAAGCTTCACATTACAACTAGTCACAAGAAGTTAAGGGCTTAAATTGTCTCTTTCTTTGTACAACTCCCAGTAGTAGTCTAGGCAGCTTTGCTTTACACTTACACCGTGCAAAGAACAGTTTACATCAAACCCAAGCAGTTACATTAACTTATTATTATTAACAACAAATATGAGGAAGTTTAGGCAAGGCTATAGCTAAAGCCATGTTTGGCAGCTTCTCAGCACACACACAGAGGTCCCTATTGCCATGTCTACATTCCAAAGCACTGTCCAAATGCTTAGATTAGCACAATGATTAAATAGGAACTGCTTGTTTGTCTTTAATATCTGGAAAAAAAACTAAGAGCAAGTTCTGATGAAGCAAGACCCAAAAGAACTCTCCTCAATTAAGTTAATAAGACTACCAAAACATCTGTTACGAAAGACAAGCAAATACATTTTTTTTTTGTATTGTCATTGGGTTAAAAGGTAAAATACAACATAGTGAAATTCTGCAAACATTAATAACAAGTTTGTGTTATTAATTTCACCTCCTTTCATAAAGAAGTTGACTTACCTAGTACTGTCACAGTTGTTGATGCCTGTGTATTTCCAAGTGGGAATGTAACTGCCTTGCAAATATATTCTCCTGCATCAGAAAAGCTTACATTTTTTAAGATGATTGTTGCATCAGCAAGTGAATAGTTTTTAAACGACACTCTTCCTTGGTATTCTCCTTGAACAGATATTCCGTATTCAGGATGATGAACAGCAATTGTCTGTGAACTTTTACCGTGTATCTTCTCCCAAGAAACTTGTGCAATTGTTTCATTTACATCAATTATGCATTTCAATGCAACCTTCTTCCCCCAAACTGCTGTCACATGTGGATCAACAATTGGTCCAGCTAAGGCACCTAGATATAAAGCAATCATTAGTTGGTACACAAAAAGGTTATGTCTCTAAGTCTTCACATTAAGCTTTCTTCAGTAATTAGCTTGCTTTTTTCAAAGACAATTCTTACTTTCTTCTGAATAAGTGTATTCTAGTTTATTCACAGCAGTATGGAAACATTACAAAAGGATGCTTTAAGCAGAAAACAAACTAAATGTAGTTCAACCATTCTTCAGAGAATACTGCCACTAATACATAACTTTCTATAAAAGTGACCTGATAATTGTGTAACTGGTATATCAACCTTTTGGGAATTTAACTAGACTTGAGCATTGCATGTGTTCAGGTTTAGCTACATAAACATGACCAGAGTACATTTAAGAAGTCAATAGTCTACTGACAGTTATGCTTTTTTTGAAGATGTGGAAATAAAACATTTTTTCCACGAAGGAATGCTTCTAACAGTTCATTTGTGCCATGACAACATTGTGTTCTCACATGAACTGCATGAATATTTTTAGAAGTCAAACATTTTTATTACTGATACTTTCAAGATTTACAGATTGAACTGAGCAGGCCTCATATGTATATAAATATACATATACTACATTTCAACTATAGAACATTGTTATGTCTTATTGTTCGTTCACCTTATCCCACAAAGACAGTAGAGCCAATAGATTATTACAAATTTATCTCTTCTGACATGTTCAGGCCCTAAAGACAACTCATCTACACCACTTACCTTGATCTTACATATAGTTTATATAACAGTATATATACTCCAAAGTGTTTAAAGTTTTAAAAATAGTTTAAAGCTCAAGTGAGAACAACCACATCTTTAGTTTGCAATAACACCTTTAATTTTAAACTTCAGCCAATTATCAGTATTTAACTAACTTTTGGTTGCTGAATAATGAACCTAACAGTTCAAAACAGCAAGTTATTTACCATACCAGTATCAGGGCTCTCCGAAACTTGGGACTCTAAGATGGCATTTCTGACATAGACACTTTCACTCAAGAGTTAATACTTTTCTCTAAGACTGTACTTGAATAATGAGTAACAGCTACATGTCTACTCCATAGTAAAGCTTTGGAGGCTTACAATGCACAAGACTCTGAAGAACAAGACATTTCAAGGCCACATTATTCATCTCCTTAACTGATCCAAGGTACTGATGCATAGGACACATTTACTGTTTTAATAAAGTCTAGCTCTCCTCCTCTTGAAATCTAACATTGAGATCTGACCTTTGCTTGTACAGTCACTCTCAATACTGAAGTCCTTGCTTATTCTCAACATTTCTTAAGGAAAAAAGTTTGTATTCACTTACTAATCAAGATCTTGTTTTGTAACTTCTCAAGGTAAAACATCATGAAGTTTTCTTACATGTTTCTTTAGATTTGACAAAGTTTTCATGGATCTATTTTCCTTTTTCCTTTTGCTTACTTGGAAAATGAAAAAATTTCTGACGTCTTCCCTCGATCATGTGCAGTCTGACAGGTTATAAAGTCCAGAAAGTCTTTGAAACATGGAATGAGGGTCTCACATAAGCTGCTTAATTGAGTACACTGTCAGATGACTTTTACTGATGGTTTACAATAATTACTTGAGTATCATATTTTGATATGGCACCCAATCCCATCTATTTCAAAGCTTTGAAGCTAACTATCATTCAGCTTGTATAAATGTTTTAGAAGTCCTTGTATGTATCAGCCAGCCAGACTTACTCCTTTACTGAACCAATTCATATTGCTGATCAGATTGCACAGGCAATCAATTTACCTTGTTTTGATCAGAAAGAGCTTGTGCAGTACTATTTGATATGCAGCCTGGTACTATTGTAATCTCCAGGACCTTTATATGTTTCAGTTTTACCTAAGTTCCTACACACTAACAGAAGTTTTGATCACACAATGATCCAATCCATGCTGGTAATAGTTTTGTGATATACTTGGACGTGAAGTATCCTGCACCTAAAGTTATGAGATGCTAAGCAGGTGGATACTCCTCCTAGTTGATCTACTTGACAGGCCTATTTTCCAATCTATTTGCAAGCTTGCTAATAAAACACAACTTATTTCACAGATAATACTGTTAGTTGCATGCAGACACTGACAGTCCACATCTCAGCTTCTCAAACTGCAACAGTTCCTCTCTATCCCTAATTTTACCAACTTCAAGGACTTAAAAGCAGCCATTTACCATTCACGGCTCCACACTTGCTTATTAATGCTGCAATGCTGCCCTACCTCAATTTAAATCATTTCAAAGCTGAAGGATGGATCATCTCATTTGAAAGTGCAAGGAAGGAAAATATAACCTTATTGTTCTAGTATTTACAGCACAATACCTTCCAGAGGATAATGGTTTTGGCCCTTTGAGTTCTGACACCCCTCGCTCCCTTCCAAAAATGAGCTGCAATGTCTTTTCATTTTCCCACCCACTTTTCACATCACTACACAGACCAGATTTCAAGTTTGAGTACTGCAAATGTCTCTCAGTCAAAATTGTATAAGCTATTCTTTTATTTCAGATAACCACTAGATTTCATCATTTTTTCAAACCAATTTTTTTTATCAGGTTTACATTGTGTTCATTAGCTCTCCAGCTTCAGACCATCGCAATAATCTTATTTAAAAACAGTGCAACACTTACCATTATCACTTAGCTTATCAAAAAAGCAGTTTGAAGAGTAAACAAAGCAAGAAAAACCCCTAAAACTTACTTATGGCATTAAAAGCCACAGAACTAGGAGCTATCAAATATTGACTGAGATAACAGAAGCTGTTCACTAGTAATTCTTCACCAAACTTCTCACCAACTAAAAATAGATACCAAGGAAATACAGGGTCTTGAAAACATAATGATCGTCTTAATAACAAAGTGCCCATGCTACAGAACGAGAGAGCAGTCTCCACACTTCCAGCCTTGTTACTTGCTGTAATAAACAGAAGATTTAGAGGTTTCCTATACAGAACAGCCATACAAAAGTCTAATTACAAAAGCAATCCATTTTGTTACCTGCTATAGAACCATAGCCTGCTTAACAGCACACCACTGGCAAGACAAATCACATTGCCACTTCTTAGCCCCTTACTTTGCACCAGCTGTCAACTGTTTCCACAAGACAATAAAGCCAAACTGCAGAAGAGTAGAAAACCTGAAGTTTTTCCCTACTTCAGCAAGTTATTCAGCTCATGGGTGTATCTAGCCTTAGTACACACTAACACAGAGAACTAAGACGAGTTCCAATCAAGAGTGGAGCAGAACAACAAGAACACCCCATTTCAGTGACATCAAGTTTCTATGTCAGCAGAACTTCCTAAGAAACACTCCTAAGGTCAGGATAGGCATTATTGTTAGGTCAATTTAATTTTAGCTGACATCAGAAAGCTTAGATCCATTCTTCCACCCCTCCCTCTCCTGCATGAGCACTCATCAGGAACCTAGGAGAGTCCTACAAAACCTACAAAAACACTCGTTTTCTTCCTGATATAGCCTTCTGAATTGTTCTCTCTGTTTAGTTAATCACAAGTGGCAATGCAACAGAAGCAACAAGGCCACATATAGACCACATACCACATATTCTCCTGGCATTTTACAATTTGTTTAGCTCAAGAATCAAATCACTTAGGGACACTGCAGAAAACAAGCCAGAAACCCTGACTTGAGGCTTTATAAAAATATATGCTTAAATTACTGGGAAGAAGTCAGTGTGTGTCTTTTGAGTACCAGAGCATGATCAAATTACTGTGTCAATAAAAAAAAAAAAGATCAGAACCAAGGAATGGAAAAGACTCAAGATTAAGTAGTACAAAACGCTCCAACACTAGCCTCTAATTAAAATTGTTAAGCAAGTACCTAGGAAAAAACTGTACTTACATCTAAGAGATAGTATTATAACCTAGTGTTGTTCTCATTTTTGGATTTGCTTTACCACAGTCCTCGCTTGAAGCAGAGTGCTAGTTTGTCAATGAAGTTTTTCAGGGGAAGTGGGCTGAGAGCAGAAACAGGGCATGAGATTGGCTTCTATAAGCACTATATTCACTAGACTCAGCTCAAGTTCCCTTTTTCATACAGCATCTGCCTTTTAAAGAGCAAACCAGAGGTATATTATTTCCATCTTAGAAGAGCAATTCACAGAATCATGGAGTGGTCCAGAGCTGGAAGGGACCTTAAGTATCTATCATCTAGTTCCCACCCACTGCCATGGGCAGGGACACCTCCCACTAGAGCAGGTTACTCCAGTCCCTATCCAACCTGGCCTCAAACAGCTCCAGGGATGGGCCATCCACAGCTTCTCTGGGCAATCTGTTGCAGTGCCTCACACTCCTCAAAGAACTTCTTCCTAACATCCAACCTAAATCTACCTCTACTTTCCTTCAGTTTAAAAACATTACCCTTTGCCAGTCCCAGTCTTAACTTTATCTAACATGTAAGCAGCTCCCCTTCAGGCAATTATTGCCTACATGCTTACAAAGGCAAGGGAAACATCGTTGCAAACTGAAAAATGTGAAAACGTTACACAAAGGTAATTTTTTTTAAAGCAACCTAGAAGCTGAACACAGAACAGGTTGAGTTTGACAATGCATGAAAAGGTCAGTCTCTTAATTTCAGTGCTGTGTCAATCAAGAGTTAACTGTTGCAGAAGCAGAAATATTACCCAAAACATCAAGCCCAAGACATAAATTTTCAGTTAAGTCCTATCATAGGAAGTTCTGCCAAATTTAAGTAGTTTGAACCTCCACCTGCTGCTTCTAAGGGTGGAGCTAACAACATGTCACACCATTCTACCAAGAGGCTCATCTTACTCAATCCCTTCAGTCCCCACAGCTGATGGAAAGTCAATTATCTTCCTCTAGTTGCTGAATCAACATGTATATCTATATATAGGTATTGAGGGGAAGGCTACAGATACCAGTCACAAGATAGCATCCAGAGCCCACAGAGAGAAGATTCATACTGCCTGTTAAAAGCACAGATAATGCAATACTGGACTAAATACTCTTATCCTAA